TAAAATCGATAAATCTATTAAACTAATTTTTCTAAAATCGAGAGAAGAATTTGTAAGCGAAAACATTATCAATGTGACGTATCAATTCAAGAATTCCTCAGAAAAGTCCAATGATGTTTCGACTACTGCGATTAAAATGTGGCAACAAAGTGCGGTCGTGCAAAGAGCCTTATTTCTTCTTATATGGCTTATGGATGGATAAAATGTCAAACAATTAAAATGCGTTTATACTGCTTCTTTTTTTGGCATTCACATATTTCTAGAATTGTTTCCCGAAATCGCTAGTAAAAAATTAGAATGTTAGAATATAATTTTCGGCTATTTGCCTAAATGTAGCTAATTAAGAATTAATGAAATAAAATCTCAAAGCAGTAGCTATGCACTGCTTAGTTCAAGCATCATGGTTCCTTTCGAACACCTTAGCTTTTAGCTTTTCACAGGAGTGTCGCTTCCATTTTAAGTCAAAAATCTAGATGACGATAGCTTTTACGCTTCATTAAATGTATTATGAAATGTATCATTAAAGAAATATTGAGAAAAAGAAATATTAATGTTTGAAATTAGAAATGGTTGGCTTGGATTTTTTTTCTTTGAATACAATATTTTTTGCAGAATATGCAAGTCTATTGCCAGGAGTCTATCTGTTTGAGAATATGATAGAGGAAGTGGAAATTCCACATTCAACTGGAGAAATTCTTGCAAAAACATTGTCGAGCTTTGGTGTTGTCATGAGAGAGCACAAACCATCTCGCAATAATTCTTGAAAATACTATAGAAAAAGATTATTGTGCAAAGATTTTTTGTTGCAGAATTAAATGCATTTTTTACCACTCAGCTCAAAAGAAAGTTTCATTAAGTTTCATTTCGATAACAGTGAGAATACATCGCGTTCATCAACTGTTGAGGTACCTATTTGCTTTGTCCGTTTCCACGACATTAAAAACTAATACAAATGACACCATAGGAAAAGGCAAGGCTAATCCACTAAATTTGTACATCTTCTTGGGATTATGTTTTTTACTTCAGGATTCAGTGATGAACGAAGAATCTCGCTCATAAAAGAGAGAAAATAATTGAAAATAATTGTATCATAATTACTGTTTAAATTTTCCAATCATCATATAAGCCTCAAATTTTTTTTATTAGAGCTTTCGTTATGATGAATTTTTATGTTTAACGCAATGTTTCTACTTCTTCTATATAGACGGCAGAAGGGCGAATCTAAAAGCTATTTTTGAGGTCGATCTATCTTGCGTCGTTATGCTATTGTTACGTATCTTTCTGAAATCTGAGCAGCTCACTGTTGGTTGATTTCGTTGAATTGTTGAATTATTTCGAAACGGCTTTTGACTTGCGACCTTTTGCATTCTTCATTCAGCGATATATCGATATTTTTGAAAAATATTATTTTTAGCAGTTTATGAAAAATCATGGTTGTTTATAAAAATATTAGTTTTAACAATTTTATAAAAAATCATGGTTATTTATAATGTTGTTAATTTATAACAATATTAGATCATTGCAATAAATAATTAAAATTACATAACATAATATTAAATAAATGATTTGAAATTTTTTTTTCGATGCAATATATTTCATTATTCTGATTAGTCTCACTCATTCCTTTTGTTAGACAGTTGGACAAGGAAAAAAATACAGGTGAAAGCATAGTATCATCCGGGTTTCATTCTTGTTGCTAGGTTTTTTAAATTCTCATCAGTAGACATATGTTTGATCTCACACATCTCTAATCAGTCAAGAAAAAATCAAGAAAAAGATAAGAAGTAAAATCAAAAGGTAAAATTTACCAAAATAAATCGCATCGAAGATTTATTATCACTGCATCGATCAGCAACCATTAGGCAATTAGCTAATTAGCCAATTTTCATTGGATCAAATGGAAAGCAATGATTCCGAGTATAACCGAATGGGTTGCTTTGACCGCACTCATCATAGGTGTTCTTTAATGGAAAGCAAATTTCTCAATAAAAGTGAAATATAAATATAGCTGATGAACTGCGCTTGTTCAAGTGTAAATAATAGAGCCAACCAAGCCAAAAATATTGAATGTTACTAGAAGAAGGAGCTTAATAGATTACATATATTAAATGTTACATAAAATGTTACATAACTGTTATATTTCAATACAACTGGTTTTTACTGTAATTCTATGCATTTTTTGCACTGGAATATATTGTGATAGGATATCTCTGGACACTAGAAAACCAAAGACAGATCATAATGCGCCGAGGATTATAAGATAGTCAATATAAATTGAGAGTGATTAATGGTCTTTTTGAGGTAAACAACATTCAGCTGATAAAATGGTCTCTCAAAAATTCTATTGGAAACATAGATCTTGTCCTGGGAAACCCAGTATTTTTAATTTTTAATTTTTTATCCTTACCACAGATTTTTTTTAATAAATTTTTTAAAGTTGCAATTGTTTTCCATAGCATAGATTAGCGATCAATTTCCAGATATTTTCTAACATAAAAAACTGAATGGAGCAATAACTTCAATAATTTTTTATAGATAATTTAATGAAGAAATGAACCGACCACAAGACAACATAATCTTGCAAAATAAAATTATTGCCAATTTCCGTTGCAAAAATATTTTCTGTATAATTTCATAGGTCTTATCTTCCAGTAATTACAATTCGATAATTAAAAATTATTGTCCTGTCATCCAAGTGGTTTTTTAATAATCCTCAATTGGTGCGCCGGTATTACAATTATACCTTTACAATGTCTGAATACCAGTTATTTGTTTCAATGTATTTTCCATTTTTTCAATTTTTTTACATTTTTGTGAAAAGTAATTTTATTTCTGTTAATTTCTTGAACTAATGATTGTTAACTCTAATAAGCTATGAAAAATCCAGTTTCCTGTAGTTATTATTCTTGAGAGAACAAACAATAAATTTTTGTTCTGCTGTTGAAGAAAATTTCAAGGACTGGATGTCATATTCATTGCCACGTAACGAAAATCTGTTGCAATCATACCAAATCCAAAAAAATTTATATATTTTAATATATTTAAAATATTTTATATATATATTATATATATATATATATTTGAACAACCTTCTTGCGGATGATGAGAGATTCACATAAAGGCGAAGCAAACGCATGCGGGGTGATATCTGGATATTCCGCTATTTTTAGATTTTAAAATTTAAAATTTCCTTATAAATTTCAAATTTTAGAAATTAATGAAGCATTTTTGGGAATTCGCCAATGAGATTTTATCAAAATTTGAAAACTGGTTTTGATCCAAAGTTGTCTTGATGGTTGCCTTGTTTATTACTTTGCTATATTGAATTGCTGCATTTGATAGCGCTGATTTTCTATTTATTTATTTAATTCAATATCCTTTTTTCTTCTTTCGCGTCATAAGCTGATGCCAAGTTATGTAAAATCCCATCTGTTTTACTTTGGAGCATTTGGAGCAGTATTAGAAGCAGTATATTTCCCATTACTTTGGCTCCCTATAGCGCTTGGAGGAGTAATATGGGTTAATAAATTTTTTTTAAGAAAAAATTTAAGTTGGAAATCATAATCACACTATGGATCCAAACTTTTAGTGCTTTAGTGCTTTTTAGTGCTTTAGATGTTTTAGTGCTTTAATCCTCTTTAGTCTTCTTCATTATTTCTCTCATGCATTGAAAAATTTAAATGAATAGAATAGACCTCATGAATAGACCTCATCTCTGAATTGTTTGGATTAAAAATACCATTACCATTCATCGTGGAAATCGTTTTACTTATTAATTAATAAGTAAGCCTGAAACTAATTTCATTCCAGAAATCCCTCTATATTGCCCTAAATGCTAGTGAGATGCTGCACCCAAGTTCAACACTTTCCTCATTTTCGCTTAGGGCAACATACCATCTCCCAATAATTTTTGAAAATACTTTAGAAAAAGATCAATGATTGCAATTGAAGAAATCTCTTTTTTTAGAGTGAATTTCTTAGTGTTCATTACATTATCGGAATAATTTATTGTTAACGAAAATTATAAATTTAGGTCATGAAACTCAAACATGTTGAGTTTTAATTTTATGTAGATCAATAAAAAGCAGTCGTTCGTATTTGAATTTGCATTTGCAAATTTACCCTTGACAACGAATGATTCAATTGATTTTCGTCTTTATTGCTGGTACTTCGTCTTTATTATCTGATCACCTATATAATTATTTAGCGAAATTTATCTCGTTTATCGTAATATTTATTTAAATATCTTGATGGGTCCTCAGTTCATCAACCAAAAAATGCGCTACATAGATCAATTAAATAAAAACTGGAATAAGGCGAAAATTTTGGTGCAATTAAAATACTTTAGAATTAATTAGATTTCATTTAAAATTTATCATATGAAATTTTATTTAATCAACGTTGCCAAATTTTATTTAGTTTGGTTATATTAATTTAAATTTATGGCGAGTTTTGCTTGATGGTCAGTGCTGCCAGAGATGGATTGAAGTTATGCAAATCAACTTGCAGAGGCAGTATCTTGACTCAGACTTTTCATTATCTACTGGAAGAGATCTCATTTTTACGTCGTCTCTAAATTTAAAACTTGCCAATATTGTTCAGAACTAAATCATCTAAAGTCTTAACCTTAGTCTACTGATGGAGTATTATTTGTGCACCATTATGACTTAATTATTTGCCTTAATTAATATCTTTAATTTATTGTTTTTAATATGGCGTTGCCTAATTTTCGCGTGGACAAATGTAATAAATATAATTTTAAAAAAATTTCACAATATTTTTTTAGCTTTTTATGCCCAGCTTTTATTTTTTTCATTTTCTTTTATTTCCTAAATTTCTAATGATAATATCGTTTTATAATTTAACAATATCATTACAATAACCTATCAATTTGATACTTTTTGAAGGTTTCACTTGAAATAAGAAAATGGACCAATAATAAATAGGTTTGCTGCTACTTCTCAAGAATTGAATGTTGCATTAAAAGTGATTTTTTTGAAATGGTCAATCTTCCAACAATTTTACAAATTTTTTCTTTTATTTTCATTTTATGTGGAAGTATCATAAACTTCATTGCTTTAGCAACGCCATCGTGGCAGGTTAGTTGTTTGTTTGTTTCTAACGTCTTTTTCTATAAAATGTTTGAAACGGTGGCCAATACAACGATAAGATCGTGATAGATTTAAGGAAAGAGACAGAGGAATTAGGAATTAGGATTTAGGAATTTATAGGGAATTTAAAAGCAGTGAGAATCGTAAGAAACAAGGCACTGAAAATGTGACGCTTTCAGGTTGTTTATGCTCGAGAACTTCAGCAATGGATCAAAAGTGGATTATGGATGAATTGCCAAACCAGGTAAGGCATTTATAAATCTTTGCACTGAATTTGAGATCAAAGAAGAGATTACTTCTTTTGATAAGCTTCAAAGAATATGGAAGAAATAAATTCGACCGTATGATTAGATGGATTATGAAAACCAGATTTATTCCCTATAACTCCATTGAGATTTTAATATACAATATGAAACAAATTTTTGGTTGATAAAGTGGCACAGCGCAGTAAATGTATTCCACTGGCAAAAAAACGAATGTTTTAGTTCCTTATCTCAGAAATAGTTTGGCTATCGCAATAGGGAATAAAATTAAAAAAGGAATATTTGATGATAAAACATTGAAGTCGAAAAAATGACCAATGTTTGTATGATTTGATTTGAAAATTAGATGGAAAGAGATTCTATGGTTAGTTTAACTAATTTATTGTTTTTATAATTGAGTGACTTTCCGAAGACGACGAGCAGAATCTGGCGTTATTATGTCGATTAGTGGCATCCGTCATATTTTCGTTTCTCATTTTTGGCTTGGTGTTTTTGCGCTTCTAGAATTTTCCTGTCATGCAATTAATGTTCATTGCTCCATTTCAAGTGTCTTAACAGATAATATTGGCATTTTCCCGAATGGAGGATAGTATAAGGTTCGATGTTCTGCTAAGGAAAGTTTTGATATAACTCATAAAAACAATTAATTAACTAAATTAACCATTAGAATCTATTTCAGATTAAATCTTGTAGGGTAACTGAGCCATTTTTCGAATTTATTATTTTATCATAGCAAGTTTTATCATGTGTTGTTTCCATGGTGTTTTTATTTCTTTTTCTATTTTTACACTACGATTTCTAGGCTATTTCTTGGTTATTCTTAATGATGAGAATGAGGTGAAATGTCGAAATTTATTACTTTTGCCACTCAAGTTTCTTGCAGTATCATACAATTCATCATACAACTGGGGAGTTTAAATTCCCTTCGAGACTTTATAAGAAAACCATAATTTTCCTAAAATGAAGGATATAAGGATGCATGCTCTTTTTCAAGAAATTTTACCATGATTTTGTGAAGAATTTTTTAGGCCTTCTGGGATGCTTTCTTGCGCATACACATTTTCTAAGAATGATATAAACATATATACAGGTTCGGATCCAATCAATATCAGGACACCTGCATTTTACGGTACTTATTCAAGATTTTAAAATTATAATAAAATAATATGAAATAAATTTGAAACAAAATGATTAATTATGTGCAATTGACATTGATTGATAACGAGTTTTAACTAATCATTTGAACTTAATTTGAATTTGAACTTAACTGATGGATTATTTTTTATCTCTCTCTTAAAATTTCTCTCGCTTAAAATTTCTGTTTTTATAAATAATCATTGCAAATGCATCAGAGTTTAATATTGTTCGGAGCGCTGTTATTCTATCCCCGCCATGAGTAAACCTATCCAAAAATGTGGGTGATGGCGACGAATCACTTGTATAGACTCCCTGGCACATTTGTTTAATCCGCCAAGCTAGCAAAATCTAACCAGTAATGAGAAAATTCTTAAAAAAAGATGCGTCATTAACAAATTTCAGGTGGGACGCACTTCATATCTTTATTACCATAAAAACACATTGCAATTAAGCATATAAAAATCATCCTTGCATTAAATGAGGAAATCTAAACTTCATTTTATAAATACTTCATTTTTGACAATAATATTAATAAATAAAAATATAAAAATTTAGAATGGCACCATAATTTATTATATTTAATTTTGTTGGGCCAACTATTCGCTCTACTTGGAATGATATCATTTTGTTTATCACAAGCAGTTGCCATACGTAAAAAAGCAATGATACTTTTGTGTATTTTAACTGCATTTGCTGGTAAGAAACTGGAATTTTTATCAAACTTATGGATTTTATACCTTTATTTTACCAATTTAACTAATCATTGCCATTTATTTTTGACTAATATTAATGAAATATCAATAAATCTTTCAGCCTTATTGAATGTTGGCTCAAATTTAGCATTTTTAATTTATGCTAATATGGTTGAATATAGATTTTACCATGTTAGTGTCAGTGGTATTTATGAGGTAATATTTCGAATTTATTCTTATTCATTCTAGCTCTTCTAGAAGTCATTATGGTTAGAATTTTTTGAAGTGCTCATTTAAAGACAGAAATGTAGGTGAATAACCAACCTACTCGGATATTTTAATGACTCCTATCCTGGGAATCTAATCTATTAATCGACTCGAAACAACCATATTATTCCACCATTTCTGCTTTTATTCACAGAAAAGATATAAATAATTATAAGATATAAATAAAAATAATTAAATAAGTTGTCATTAATTTAATTCCCGAAAAAATTTTTTTGCATGCATATTTTCAGCAACATTCGTTTCATTTTTTCAGAAACATTTCGGTTTTTCATATTATTTGCATTTACTTGGTTCCATTTTTTTGCTTTTTGGTTTGCTTTTTGCGATTGCATTCATTGCGTTTTTCAATCGGTTAAATAATACGGAACGAAATCGAATGCTTTATTCACCATATCAAGTTAGTTAATTAATTTTAATAGTTAATTAATTTTGTGAAAAAATTCCGTTAGTTAGACCATACGAGAAAATGGTGAGACAAATTCGTAAAGGAATAAAAGAGGGTTAAAATAAGTTTTGAAAGGAATCTTGTTTTTTCAATCCGAAAAAAGGAGATATTTGGATTAGAACAAAGGATGATATGTTAATTTTGTTCTGGCTTCCGTATCTTTAATAAAATATCTTCAACACGTTTTAAAGTTTCAAGATGTTGTATATAAATGTGTTATATGAATGAAGATGTTGTTTCTATTTTATATTACTCTGCTATTACTGAATGCTTTATTATCCAAGTTTATCGATAAGTAATTTTATCGACTGAATGCATAAATTTTCAATTCCAAATTTTCTAATTTAAAATCATCTAGATTTTATGTAGCTATATTAGTAGCAAACTAGATTTGGAAAGAAGTTGGAAAGAACCAAAGTGCACTGGAAAAAGGTACCAAAATATACCAAGATTTTTGAGCGAGCGATTTTTTTTCTACCAGAATTTTTTGGCAACGGATGTAATTGCTGGCGCAAATTGATCAAAAGGTTTTAAATAATGTTCAGTAGGTTCATAATGCTTGAATTTAACAAAAAAGCCAATTACAGATTGGTTATAATAATCCAGAAGAAGATTTTTTCGCCATGCGTTCACTTCCTGCATTGCCATCTGAATATCAGAAATGAATGGCTGTTAATAATTTGTTATAATTTAATTTGATACAATGATTGGTTCTACTATTTTGGATAGAGAAAATGAAATTACTCTTAAAAGAAAAAATGGTTATATTATATTGTGAAAAAGTGGTGAAAGTAGTAAATGTTAGCACTCACTCTTTCTGGTTAGGTTCCACTGGCTGCTAATGCGATCAAAAATTTTTGCTTGGGAATCGACGTTAGAAGCACAGATAGGTTGTCGCTACAGTAATGTATATTTTTATTATTAATTATTGTTATTATTAATATGAAAAATATATATTTTTTATTTTTAAAGATTTTCAAGTTTGTTTATTTTATGTTCGTTTATTTGGCTGTAAATTTTCAACTTAGCTTATTATTTGTTCGTTTATTTTATTGAAATTAAATTGAAATTAAAAATCATATTTTCTTAAATCTCAATCAAATCAATTCAAAAATATTTAAAGGATATCTAAATTTTGCATATGTAAAATACTTTTTTTGTGTAAAATGGCTTTTTGCCTACTTGAATTTCGCTTCTAATAATTAACTTCCTTCGTCAAGAGAAACCCAATCTAAACCGATGAAACCACTCGACTTTCCCATCTCTTAAATATTAAGCATTATGGGTTGATCGTACTTTAAGTGGCTAAAATAAACTAAATATTGGAATAAATCTAAATTTTGTAAAGATTTTGTCGTATCAAAAATTCGTTAGATTATAATCTTAATAAGAAAGTCACTTTACACTACTCACTGTCTCCCATATAAGAGGAATAATTAGAATGAATGACTGAATTAACTGATAGTTTCAATTGGTGAGAAAATTCCGAGCAAAGTTTTGGTATTTGTTATTTTCCGTAAATGGTCAGAGGAATTTGACTGGTGCGAGTTCTTCATAACTTATCGATTTTATAAACGTTGTTATCGTTTAAACTTAAATTTCTATTTGTGATAAATAATGATAGAAGAGATTTATTGAAATTTGCCCTTGGTTTGGCGACAATTATGCAGCGAAATTGGGAACTCTCTCACTAGCAAAATGTTCATTCAAATTTTCAGACTATATTTTCCTTCATATTTTCCAACCAATCGTAGTTTTCAAAAGGATTTGAGGATTTAGAGAGACTTCTTCGGTACCATTCAGGCTCCACTTTTAATAAAAATTCTCTCCGCAGACAACGGAAACTAATTATACTATTTTTTGTCCTTCGAAGGAACAGTGATAGAAAGAGACACAGAAATCTGATTTACCTCTAATTTTACCTCTAATCATCACATTCACTTCTGAAAATTTGGCGGATTTTGCATGCCATCTGAAGACCGAAATTATTCCTTATCGAAAGATTTTGATCAAAAAATGTTTCTTCCAGAATAGCGTACGAAAATGAAAGAATTTGCATCCGTTAATCCATCGTCTATTTGTTTTTAGATTTTCGATATGAAAAATATGAATTTTAAGTTTTTTCTCAATCGTAAATTTGCATCACATGATAATTATTATTTTTGGTAAACTGCCGAAATTATTTTCTTACTGTGGAAATTGAATCAATGGAATTTAACGATCGATGCTGTCAAGGTCGCTTTTCAATCGTGCAAAATAGCGTCAATGCAAATCCGTTTTGGAGACGCAAAATTGTGTCAATTTTAACTTATCAGTTTTATTCCTTTAATTATTATTCATTGTCGATCACTTATTGTTTATGACTAACCGATTGTTTATTCCACAAGGCCAACAACCTTTCCTTTTTCTATTGTTATCAACTCTCTAACCTCACATTTCTTCGTATTAATTCATCAACCGCCACATTTGCAGAATTGGCCAACATAAATTTTCCATCGAATATAGGTTCATCTTTTGCGGCATTATTATTAAACACCTATATTATTATTATTATTTTTATATACACCTATATTATTATTTACATAGATCTTCGGTTCGTTAATTATAACTTTAGTTTTGTCCTATTTTGGATAGTTTTTCTGACACTCCTGTTTTGTTTTGCTGCATTTGCTATTGAAAGGTGAGTTTTTCACCTGAGATTCTTTTAGAAGTAGAAAGGATGGGAATATAGCATATGACCACCGCCATTTGGAATGAGAGGTTTATGTCAAAGACGGGAACCGAATCAACGTTTCACATTGTTCACATCTACTTGTTTTTAGTTCTCATTGAATTGACTGACTGATTGCTTTTTTATTGCTTATTGGTTGAACAAGCAACAACCATTTCGAAATTATTTTATTGCCGTATCAATCCACAGCTAGCCCAGATGAACCAGTCTGAATCTGAATTGTTCTAAATTCTTGTAAATTGTTCTAAATTCTTATTCAACTCGATATGGTGAAGATTATAAGTGCAGATTATTCGCTTTCCATAATACTATTTATTTCTATTATCTAAAATTGGATAGTGCAATTTTTTCGCGACTTTTGCTAATAATCATTAGTTCAAGAAATATTTTAAGTATTTTAGTTTTATCGATGTTTTGTGACTGGACAAGTCGGCTTCTGAAGGCTCAAGTTGCTGCATTTTTCTTAATTTGTTTCAGCAATTTGTTCATGTTTATCGCCTTAATCACTCCAGCTTGGCAGGTTCATTTTGATGCAACGTTTATTTATATTTTATATTTTTTAAAAATTAAATGCAAAAAATTTTGCAGAAAATTTGATTTAACCATCTGAAGCAGTATAAAATAATAATTTTATTCTTTATTCTCTTTGTTGCTGATTTCTGAACAAATTTGTCTACTTCCCATTCATGGTCGATTTGCCGAAATAACATAGTTTCAAATTCCAGAATTTCCACTAATTTCTTTTTAGTTCATTTCGGTGAATTTTTATTTACTTTAAGAGGATGGAATTATTTAATCGTTAGCCCAATCTTTAGTCCCAAAGTACAATCAATATAATTTTTCAAGTGGATTTCTAGGTAGCTTTCGACAAAGATGCAAATCGGTATGTGCAAAGTGGTTTATGGATTTACTGTCCAGGAGAAGCGGCTTGTTGGTATATTTTCAGCGATAATCTCATAAACTATTATGAAAAGGTTGATGTTTGTCGATTTTTCTTGATTGGTGATTGTCGTAAAAAACTCGTTCGAACACCATACTTTTTTAGTAAGTTTTATAATTATTTAATTTTTATTTTACTCTCATTAATAACTTTGCTTATGACATTATATTATATAGCTTCAAACTAATTATTTTGTAAGGCATAAGATTCTCCCAGCCACAATTATTACTCCTTATTACTTATTACTCCTTCCAGCAATGAACCACTACTGGTTTGGCTTATTTCGCTAATTACTGACGTGAGTAGTGAGTTCGGCTATGCTACTGAGGAAGAAAGGTACAAATGGTTCTCCAGCAAAGTTGGGATTTCACTTTTAATAGAAGGCTCATTAATTCATGTTGCTAGACGAAGTAATCTATCAAGATCTGCCTCCAATACACATTGTTACGAAGCATTTTTTTCTCATAATCGAATCAAAAGAGAGATTTTTTAAGCTATTTCTTTTGAAAACATATGTGAATATCTGAGGGTAATCCTTTTATTTGAATGGTTATTTCAATATTTTTTTACTTATAGAATTTGAAAGCAAAAGGGATATACAACTAAAAATAATTTCAGACGATGTTTTTTCTGCCAAAACTTCAGATTCAATTCAGATTTTAATCAATCTGAATTAAATCTGCTATCAATGCCCACACTTTTAACTTACTTACAATGTTCTAATACGGATTTACCCTCAAGATTTCAAAGATTCACCAACTAATTCAATCAAAAAATTTGATAAATGATAGCTTTCAGATTGGCATTACGTGGTACTCATTATTATAATAATCGCATTACTATTTAGTTCTGTGGCAGTGCTTTCACTATTCTTAAGTATTATTAAGAGGAATCATATTCGACTGTTCACAATTTTATTCAATATTCTTACATTTACTGCATGTGAGTTACTTTAGAACGTTACGATTGCTGAAAAGAAATAACTATAAAAAAGGGCAGCTTTAAGTGGGACTCCTATTCTTACATCTCATGATTTAACGCAGTTTGAAAGCCGATTTTGTCAGCAGCAAAAATACAGATCCACATTTATTCAATCTTCATTTCATTATTATAATTAAAATAATTTTGAAGATCATGCATTTAGCTATACTTTTTATTGACAAATATTGGGAAAATTATTTGCCATAAAAATGAAAGAATACCGATATGACCAAGTGATTCACATCCTTTTAATTTAAATAAATCTGTTAATTCATATATTATGGCTCGGCCTCCGACAACAGGAACTTTTTATTAAAAGTGAAATGGTTTGGATGGTGCTGGGGCTCATCTGTGCTTCTATACGAGCAAATTAAAAGGATGAGCATGAACTAGGAAAATGAGCAAAGATTTATTTCATAGAATTATTGAATGGGATATGCTAATGAAAATTCTAATGTTTCTAGTTAAAATTTTAAATTAATTTTCAGTTGTTTTATTAAGTATTGCTCTCGCAATATTCATGGTAAATGCTGAAATGTTGGAATCGCGATATTTAATTGGAATAAAAAATACATTTCGGGTATGTTATGCGTTAACAACTCATTTTTTTTATAAAATTCTTAGGTTCTTCGACGTGTTTTTTTCTCTTTCAACAAATTTTATTAATATTAATATAATATTTTGATGTTATTTAATTGAAAATTGAAATATACGATAGTTCATTAATATGGATTAGGAATAATTCAAAATCTGCTTGATATCCTTGCCTTTACATTCCTTTACATTCGCACATATCCGCAAGAAAGAAAAATTTTTAGAAAGAGTATGGATATTCCTATTATTTAGCCGGATTAGGGCTTATAATGTTTCTTTTCACGCTACTGGCAGCAATTGTTATCACAACTTTTGTATTTTTTACGAGAGACAGATTTGAAAGAGAGGCGATATTCGGATCAAACCAAAATATTAAGTGGCAAAATAATAGACTTTACACAAGGCCAAATTCCAAGGTAAACTTAATATTTTGTTTCCAGAACACTCAGCATCCAAAATAAACCTGATTTTTAAACCGTCTTCCTAAGTTCATAAAATTTTCCGTTGGCTGGATACCAGAGAAAATTTTTAAATAAATAGTAATAAAGATAAAAAATTATGTTTTCCCTATGAATTTAGTTTTTTCTCAAATTCCTTGACTAAATTTCTTTTAAATATGGAGTAAGGAATTTTCAGGAAATGGACATGCAATGGAATAAAATCGGTTCTATGCCAATGATTCCGGTACTTGCAAATGTATTTGAGCATCCACCACGACCCGGCAGTATTATTGATACTAGTTCAATTACACCTTTGCCACAACCAGAGTATTTGCAGTCTACGAGAACTTTCTTAAGCTATTAGTTTTTTCGACGGTATTTTCCACAAATAAATATGGTTTTTAATAGACAAAACTTTTCCTTTTTATCCTTCTTTTTGTTAAAATAAATCGACGACTCGTCATTTGGTTCAACTTTCCAGACAATCTTGCTTGCTATAACTTTGACGAGAACTGAAGTAGAAGCTTATCTAATTATTGTTTGTTTGATATTGGCAATCCAGTGAGGAATCAAATGAGAAATTAATCATGTTATGATCTATTTTTTGATCTCTAAAACTATTTCTATTAAATTTTCGCTATTTTTAAATTTTTTTATGTTTTGTACAATTCTATTTATTAGAAAATTGATAAATCAACTGAATATTTTAAGCAGCATGAAATCAATTTGAGAAAAATTAATTTTTTTTCCCGCAGAAAATGATTTAATTTTTGCTATAAAATTTCTGCCAAACTGAAATCATGAAATAAATACGCAAACTTTTTCATGTAGTATAATTTTTCTAAAAAATTAAGACGACCTGAAAATTTTGATGAAGACAATAAATTTGATAAGCTTCCTGAAGAATTACGACTATGAGAAAGCGGTGCAAAATTTTGTCAGTAAAATATTTTCAGGCATAAGAAGTGCAACCAAGAAGTGTTGAGTCGATGCACAGGCAACATGTGTGAAGAAACCAGGAAAAAATATTGTAGAAAAACAATATCATGTTATAAATAATAAGGAATAGAGAATAAAAATAATTATAAGATTATCTGTCCCAATGAATATTTTTTCCTGCTTTCTTCACATAGTTGAAATTTTTTTAGGATCGAAAATTTTAAAGAATTGAAAATAAAGAAACCTTTGCTTTTTTGGCTTTTTCAGATCATTATTGTCATTAATACCAAATTAATACCAAAATAAAGGAATCAGGTGGGAATTAGTCGACTAAAAAAGGATAGAAAAGGAGACTAAATAATTCTGAACATCGAAAAAACCTTTGACGGATCACGGAGAGAACACAAATAAGTGGGTCTTAAAAATGTTACTAAAAATGTTCAAAAAAAAACGCTTTAAAAACAAGCTTTTGAGTAATTTTTATCAAAAACAATGCATTAAATCGTTATTTTTTTTACGAGCGTTCACCATTGCGCGCAATGGTTTGTCAGACCAGACAAATTTTGCCACGGAGCTGATTATTCGCCATCATAGGTGTTTGAAAGGCAAGTTTACTCTTTCCGAGTATGGAAACGGAGCATCGACTTTGAGATATGCGAGCAGCCATCTTAGACTTTCTATTCTTTTCAATCGTTATTAATATTTTATATCTATCAAAGATATTTCCATTAATTATTCTCTAGTAAAGTAATTCTCTGAAATAATTTTAAGCGTTCTGCATGTTAAAATTTCTCGGCAAATAAAATGTCTGATAAAATTTTTTGTGATAAAATCTCTTTTCAGAAACTTTTCGCAAACAAAGTGTAAAAATTCTTCAAGAACATTTTGTTAAAATAATCGTTAATTAATTTATTTTATTTTATTCCAGTGAACAAGAAAAAATGTTTTTGAGCATTTTATTTATATTATTCGTGCAACATAAGTTATACACAAGTGGAAATAATTTTACTGGCGAGGCTCTTGTCGAGGCCGTTGTTGACTTCATAAAATTTTCGTCTTCAATTAATATCAGCGAACTGTGCAAAGATACTTTGGCTTACAAGGTTTAATCTTATTATTATTTTTATCTTAATTTATGGCTAATTTTTATTTTTAATTTGCATAATTTTATTTCTTTAGCTTTTTTCTTGTTGAGTTTTTTAAGTTTTCGAAAAAGTGCGGGAAGTAATATGATGGCTTTCGCTGATTGAATTTTTTTGGCGAAAACAATTCGAAAAAACTGGAAAATTTAAATATTAATTTATAATATGGTCTAAATTCATTTTTTTTAAAGAGTCCTCACCATTACTGGTTAAACTCGCTCCACTGGCTTGCAGCATTTGACAATATACCAGGGAGTCCCTTGGCGATAGGAATACAGGTGAATCGCCAGCATCACCCAGATTTTTGTACAGGTTTACTCCTGCGAGCAATCGAACATCCCCATTGGCGCCCCAATTGAGCAACAACCCACTGAGCCATTCTATCCCCAATTTCATTCCAGTGAATCTAAAAACGTCTAAGTTATGAGAAAAACTATGCTTAGGGTAATTCGAATAAATTGTCCGAACAAGTATGTTCGTTACAACACTGGCGTAATTCCACATATAGACAATAACTGATTGATTATAAAGGGCGATAAAAGGAAAAAAAACAAACTGCTGGAGTGTTAAATACTTTTTTGATACTTTGCTGTTACATTCTGGGAGAAATGAGTTGTTGCATTTTTAGTTACCCAAATATTTGGCTTCGTTTAATGATTCAGGTGCTTCAGTAAAGAATTTTGCCTCAGCATTCAGTGCCAGTATTTCAACACATTTCTTGGCTTATCGCTCGGTAAAAAATTTTTAAAATCCTTGCTTTAAGAATTGCTTTATTTTATTTTCCTTTCACTTTTGATATATTTCTCACCTTATTTTGCTGAATTACCACCTAAATTATAAGGAAGAATTATAAATAGGTAACCTTGTTTTTGATTTAAAGAATTAAATTACAGACGTATTATATGATGAAATGTTTTGAAATAGCAGGGGAAACTAGTTATTCTGTTTCTGAATACCCTATGAATTACTGTCATAGTGTTAGTGAAGATAATTCGGTATTTGGAATTTGTATCCCAGCCAGATGTTTGCCATACCATACTCAGGTTTGTTAATGTTCATACTCGAAAATACGCTGATTCCTTTGGTAATAAAAGAATAGATAAATAGAAAAAATGTTAAAATTTAAATTAAATGTATAAAATCATTATATTTAACCTATATTTTAGTTGATGCAAACTTGGAAGCACAAGTTCTCTGATAGAAAATCTGATTCACCCACAGTCTTTCAAGAATGTATACAGTCCAGACGTCATGAGCAGTGGTATAATATGCCAGGACCAGTTACCGAGTTCACCATAAACATAATTTTCCTTCTTATTGCTTCAACAGCCACCATTTACCATATTTTAAGGGGAAATATATCGAGGTATTATAAATTTAACGATTATATTATTTTTTGCTTCTAAAAAGCATATTGTTTAGCAGAAGTTATAGGAAGATGTTCAAATTTCAGTTTTCATTAAAAAAGCAAACATAAGCGCAAAAACAATGGACCTGGAAGTGCAAATCCACACGTACTTTGTTTTTCCCTAAGTCACTCTTAGGCGAAAGTGGCCCTTAGGCCGCTGTAAATAGTAAAGTGGGCCTAATCAGCAGCGGTGAATGTAAAAAAGGAAGATAGATACCTTAAATACAATCACAACTTACATGATTTAATCATTTTTAAACGTTGACATATTTCTTTACAATTTGTAACAAAGTAATTACGAAAATTTGACAAATAAATTTTTAATTTTATAGATCGATTATCACTCAGATTTTCCTAGCCTTTTCTGCAAAAACCAATTTGGCTAAGCTAACAACTTCTCCGAAAAATGAAAATTCAATAATTTCATGTTTATTTGGATTACGATTAATATCAATGTTGTGGGTGCTGGTAGGTCATTCATTCCACTGGAGCCAGGTAAGGAAAAATTCTAATAATTTCATCCCAACATTGTTCAATAAAAGAAATTTTTTTGAAATAATGCAGCCTTTTTAAAATAACTTGTCACTCACGGGTTAATTTCCTGAAACTTTTAATTTTACTGCAGAGTTATATCGAAAATCTTGAATATTTCAAGAAAGACCTATCCGACAATATTTTAAACCTGTTTATTACCAATTATACACTAAGTGTATCAAATTTCTTCGTTATAAGTGCAACTCTTACTTCGTATTCATGGTTCAAAAAAGACGGAGGTATTTTCTCTTAAATTTTCCTTTGCATAATTAATTTCCACGTAAGCGAATGACAAAATTGTTACCATAATTTTTTTAAATTTCCTAAAAATTCCCTGAAAAATTTCCAAAATTTCATAAAAAAATTTTGACATACAAAAATTAATCGAAAATTAAATTTTCAATTTCAGGTTGCGCTACAAAATATAATTATAAAAAATATAAATCATTCATTCATAGCCAATTTTATTAAAATTTAATTAATTTTACTTGATTTTATTTAGTGGTTATAATTTTTTCAGAATGAAACTTAAGTATGGAATAATTTTCCCAGTAAGCAGCAACATGATACGACTTTATTTTAGTAAATAAACGATAAAATAGCTGCAACGTTCGAGCTCACCAGGCTCATTTGATCGTCTCCTCCTACCCCTCATACTACATTTACCATTTCTGGATTCGTTGACTACTGATTTTCTGATTTTCGTTAAAGAAACTTTTGGGAATATGGGTATAGACAGTATTTGATTTACCTTCAGTGGAATATCAAATGTTTTATAATGATATTGTGAATACTAATTTTCGAATTCATTTTAATTTTTGTACAACAACGTCCTTTCAGGAAATAATTTGTCAATTAAATATTGGTTAACCTTTTATGGACATCGTTTAATACGATTATGGCCATCCTACTTATATACCTTATCTGTTGTCACTTTTCGATCAACCACTCAGAGTTACCAGCCAATTTCGAGCCGATTTGATCCCTATGTTCAGTGCCAAAAGCATGGATGGGAGAATATACTTTTTATTAATAGTTTAAGTAAAAATAATTGCCTGGGATGGACATGGTACTATTTCTTTTAAGAAAATACAACATACAGCAAAAATAACAAAATACATACAAAAAATATTGCCGAAAAAAAGTTATCTCCAAAAATTTTCGGGAAATACATCTTCGAAAATTTATTTTGGATCGTTTACTTTCAGGTACATAAGTGCGGAATTCATTTTTTATTTGACATCGCCAATATTTCTTGTAACATTAAAAAAATCTTCTCTCGTCGGTATTTTATTAATAATCGTTATTTCCACCGTATCAATGCTATTTGTTGGCTTGAAAATTTATTTTCTAAATTATCCCGCTTTGATTCTTTCATTTTCACTTCAGAATGTTTATAACAATGATTTTTACAAGGTTCGTTTTGGCCACCTATTTTATGGTTATCTTAAAGCTATGCGATTGTTTAGAAAAGCTTTAAAATGATTATTATTAACGATTTGCCCAACTAAAATATAGCCTATAAATTATCATTTCATGCTTATCCACCATGCAATTTGATAACAGCAATATACTATTTTGCTTATAACTTGGAGTTCTGGCAGTTCATTCAATTTTTGCTAATTTACATTAGCGAGATTTCTAATTCTCAACGCTAATTCTGGATTCTGGCTTGATTCTTTGCAATTTAAATTCATGATTTTTAGCAAACATTTGGCATGTATATAAGGCCTTACTGTCACATTGGTGCGTACCTTACTGGTATTTTACTTGGTTATTGCATTGTCTATATAAAAGAAAAATATGATCGTTTTAGTGGTGCAACATGTTGGATTATTTTTATTTCTGTTGGTTTATTTAGCCTATTTGGGATTTACCCTACGATAAAGGTGGAATCATTTTTTCATTTCTGCTTTTTCATTATTTTCACTATTTCATTATTTTTATGAAGTTGTGCACTGCGAAAATGGAATCACTTGAAAATGATTGAAGGGGTGGCATTGGCCAATTTACAATGCTATTTACGGTGCAATCTTCCGTAATCTTTGGGCATGTTTCATTTCTTGGCTTATATTTGCTTGCCACACTGGACTTGGTGGCTATCTGAACCAATTCTTAAGTCTAAAGATTTTTATACCACTATCAACACTCAGCTATTCAGTAAGTATATCCTTTAAAAACTATATAAAATAATTCGCCTACATAAAATAGATAAATAAAGCAGATATACTCAAATTCACCTCTTGTCTCTAACATTTATAGTAAAAATGAATTTTGTAAAAAATTTAAATTTAAAAGTAAATTCGTTCCCATCAATTATCCCTTATATTAATGATTTTGAAATCACATAAAAGGAGGTATAAAAATCACCCTACGGATCAACCTTCACAAAAAATTAATTTCCGGTCTACCTTCTACATATGGTATATATCATGGCAGTATTCCGTGGTGAACCATTTCCAGTCGTTTACACTGGGAAACATCAGTTCATAAAATATTGCACAATACAGCTGTTATTATCTTATTTTTTTTCACTCTTCAATTATTTTCTTGCTGAGGCACCAGCCCTTAATATCGAAAAAATATTGTTCTGAAAGAATTCAAAAGTATAAAATTCAGGCAATTTAGTCTTTCTGTAGGTTCTACGCAAATGATATCCGATATACTATTTCTGGCCAAAATTTATTAATAGAATCTGCAAAAGAACAAGCTAATAAAAAAAAATAATGTAGCGAAGGTGTAATATAGCCCATTCTAGACAGGATAGAAATGGCCAAGATTATAACCTTATCATTATCCGTCTTTAACATTAAAATCCAACAATTAAATAGAGATTCATACAAATAATTTTGAGGAAAGAATTTAAAAGAAATAATTTTGGGGATCCTAAAGACGTTATTTAAATGTTATTATCATTTGGGATACAAACAATGCCCAACAAAAACAAAGAACTATAAATAATTAAAAACCCTTCTCAGTTAAAAAGTTAGATACATCAGACTCAGTGCTTTTTAACATTTGAGTGTTTATCGAGATAGTTTCTAGGATTTGCTCCGTAGTACGATTCAATGTTCTTGCTTCATCTTCTTTTAAATGAGAACAAATAAACTTCTGAAATTATCATGAAATAAATGATAAAATACATTTATAAGTAGAACATTTTCAGTTGAATTCAACATAAATTGCTTATTAGTTCATAAATTTCTCACATTTTTTTCTTTTAGTGTATTGTATCTTAAGAAAGATTAATGTAACATGAGGAAAAAGGTGAAAGCAATCACTATGCAGAAAAAAATATTCTCCACCCATCACGATAAACAATAGCCTCCTCTTAAATATCGAAAATTGATAACCAAAACAGACTTGAACGTCATCGGTGGAGCCCTCGAAGCTCATCCAATCTGCGCTGGATTTATAACAATTTATGAATAACTTGCTATTGACTGTTCCTATGTTTTTTACCAGCAACTTCACATTATCCTTAAAATTAGATTTTCGCTTAATAAATATAAATATACACAACTCAATTTTCTCAGAAGCGAAATTCTTGAAGCTTTCGTAGCCGAATATCATAGCTATATTAAATTTATACCTTGAAATATGGCCATAAGAACTTTTGGCCGATGTTACTAAGACTTGCGCCAGCAAAAAGGACTGGATATTCTTGTGTACGAAGTCTTCTCTATAACAAATAAATAATCGATTTAAAATCCAGTTTGCGCCGTCTTATAAACATAACAACTTGTATTTTTTTCACATCTTAGAAAGAAATTTTAATTTATTTCAAAAATAAAAAAATCTAAAGACAAAAAATAGCTTGAAAAGATTGACAGTCACCTCTACAATCGAGTAGTTGAATAATTGTTTTAATATGTTTACGTCTTGGATTCGTGCCATAGCTAGGATACAGTGACGTTTAATTTCATCAAGTTCCGCCTTCTCATAGATCTAAAACAAAGAATTCACTGCCAAATTCAGAAATTTAGATAAAAGAGACAATGCCTCAGAAGAACTGAAATTCAAATGAAACAAACTTGTTTAAGCTCATCATAAATCGCCTGTCCACCATACATTGCAACTGTTGAATAAATCTGCAAAATAAGTACGAAACAATTTAGAATAAAAAATTAAAACATCATTTAAATTGTATTTTATTAAGAAAATACGGCTTCCAAAATGTTAATGCCCAAGTAAAATCTCTACCATCGATCTTAAATCCGGATTCAAATCAAAGTTTTTGTCAATATGCTCGCGAAATATTTTTTGCGCTTTGTCAATCGTAGGCAAATGATTGCATGAAGCCAATCGTTGTAAGATTAACGATCGCAAAAACTTTCTCTGTGGTTCTGAAAAGTAATTTTACCGATAAGACTGATGCTAAAAGTCATCAAAAAACTACGAAAATGTAAAATCTATGAAAATGGCAAAACAAACCTTCATCCTCTGATGATTCCCACTTTAAACGCATTCCAACCGGTTCCAATCTACTAGCGATATAAGAAAGTAGTCGATTATGTATTGATTTGTCAGCATAATAATTGCTTAGATCAAGTATTTTCGCAAGCCCTTAAATAAATATCCATAATAATTAGAAAAAATTTAATGGTACTAGCCTTTGGCACCTAGCAATCCAACTGCGCACTCACTCGAACCTATGAGCGAAATCATCGTTGAGAAAACCATATATATAAACTTCCTTGCTGCATAACTGCAGAATTAAGAAAATTCACATCGCATAACAAATTCTCTAATCGATTATTTTAGCCCTATCGGAGATATTTGCAAATTAATTTATTAATTGATATTAATGGGTTTTTCTAAAGCAAATAAGCTGTTTTCGATTTTTATAGAATTATTCTATCTAAAATAAATTCGCTTGAATTTAAAGAAGGTTCAACACTAGAGATTCAAATTCGCAAAGCTCTAAATTTCAATTTTAGTCGTTAGAAACATGAGTGCCGCAAAATGTGATGTAAAATTATTTCTATATTATTATTTTTTAAAATTATTATTTAAAATAATTACTAAACTATTTCTCTAAAATTATTATTTCAAACTGGCGACCTCGACCCGCCAAAAAAAAATTTTGATTAATTTGATCAATTCTTCTTAATCGAAAACTTAACTTATGCCAATTTATAGTTTCATATCATTTTATATGCCAATAAAAGATAAAGGTCAATTTATAGCATATATTGTATATCCTTTTCAAGAAAATCGTTCTTTTTCCTTATAAGAGCCATCAAGAAACTCAAGCTATTGGGTCTCATTATTTGCGTATTTAAATATTCATTTTTTATTTTATGCTTTATCTTTTTATCCATTTCCTTTCCTTTTGTCTCTTTGATTTAATCGAATTTTCTTTTTTCATCTGCATATTAATGTGGCTTAATTACCCAAGTTTGAGGCGGCGAATAAAAATTTTATTAGTGTTTAATCTACTGTTCAGAAGTAGCCTGATCAAGGTTATTCTAAAATAAATAACGCGTAGCAGGCAACCATCATCCCGCTGCTTTCAAACATTATTTTAACATAATCTATTTTTACAATGATATTGAAATCAGCTGTCAAGGACCCGGCTAAAATGAGCTATATAATTGTAATATAGGCAGATTAGACTATGATAACATTTAAAATGTTGTATTAAAATTAAAAATTACCACAATTGATTTCACTCCAGACGGAATATTCATCTTCATTCACCAAATCTTCAATAAGTTGCAAGAAAATTTTCGCATTATGTCGCGAAGATATTAACTAAAATTATTAATTCTTTATCAACTTTCCAATAACATTAACAAACTGAATTATCATAATTAAATTGATTTAATAAATTGTTGGCCTGTTATTAGAAACGCAGAATTAAAAAAAATTTACATCATTTTAAAAAAATTTAAAGGAATTAAAAATATAAAACCAAGAAAATAGCAGCTGATGTCACTATTCGAAATCTTTTGATAAAAAAAACTCATATTCGTCATATTAACGTACCCATGCAACCATATCACAAACTAAACCGAAACGATCAAGAGCTGATAGTTTTTTTTCACGTAAACATTGGTATAATGTGGCGAACTGATTGCTTCCACAGTCATAACAAACGCGATAAAAACCTGTGGTGCCAACATTAAGCTAAAATAAATTCTAAAATTTTGACGTATTATTGCATTTTTTTTGCATATTGTACTTTTTGATCAAACATAAATAAGAACTGCATCGATAAATAAATAAAGCAGCTAACCTTTAAACAATCATCGGCCTTGAATTCACTCATTATAAATTTATTTTCACGATTTTTTAACAACAAAATTTTCTTTATATTATCAGGATCACTGACTGATGCAATGGTTATTGGTACCTGAATTTATTGATATAAATAGAATCATTTTTACTTTCATTCTCTGTAATAATCTGCGATGCACTTGTACGATCTTCATCTTTCGAAAAATTTTTGCCTAAAGATTTTAAAATGAAGCAGAAATATATCGTTATGTGGCTGGCTTGGATCATATTATAGAAAAACGCCAACCTGCCAAATAGTGTCATTAGTTTGCTTAGGATTAAAACTGAATTTTTCTTGGCGTAAATGTAGAATAATTCCACCATCTTTCTTTTCTTGTTGAACAACAACAAGAGGATAGCCCATTTGTTTCGTCCAACCCGACATAAATTCACGCACATCCTAAGCTACATTAAATAAATTTAAATAAAAATTTTAAACATATTTTAAGAATAGCAGTACCTAAAGCATAAGCAAAAAGTAAAAGTTGCAGTAAAAAATCAGAAAAACAGAGGAAATTAATATGCCAACAAACAAGGCCAGACGTTTCACTTAAAGCATCCCAGAGATCAACAGTTTCTGCATTTTTATACTGATAACGCTTAAGATATATTCGAAGCCCTTCTTGAAATTTTTTGACTCCCAACATGTTGCACAACATACGAATAATGGAATTAGATTTGCTATAAGTGATACTATCATAGATTTCATCGAGCTCATTAGGATTATCAATTTCGATCTGAAAAAGGAACAAAATTGGCGTAAAAAAAAACAACAAAAAAATGGGAAGGTAGTAAAAATAAAAATCAGTATCTTATCTTGAATCCATTTTTAAAAATATTAGAAAGAATCATCAATGGCTTAATTAAATAAATGAAAAGAAATATACAAAATATAATACATAAAACATATAATATATACAATACAAAAAACAAGGAATTTGTATAATCCCAATGGTTTAAAAATTTTAGTAAATTTTCTAAAATTACTAAATTTTAATAAATTTTGATAATTTTAATTTAAACAAATTTAAAAAAATAAAAATATACAATTATCTAAACTATTTAAAAATTTATATACCTCAATGGGATGCGAACTCTTCAATGCATCTAACTGAAATCCGTGAGCCAATTCATCATTCAAAAAATTTAGCCAAACGTTATATTCAGGATAATTGGCATCAACGAACATATATTCCATAAAAGATGCAAATCCTTCTTTAAGCCATAAATCCGTCCACCACTTCTAAATTTCATCACGTTAAATTAAGCGTAATTTTGAAATGCAGTGAAAGAAAGGATTAACTAGAAAAGCATACCATAGTTACTAAATTTCCAAACCACAGATGTGCTGCTTCATGGGCAATAACGAGAGCTATTAAGGTTTCAAGACGTTTCGATGTTTTTTTTGGATCGGTTAACACAGCTAATTCACGAAATGTTAGCAATCCCCAATTCTCCATAGCCTCTAAATAAGGCAAATACGAATCAGTTTCGATATATAACACTCAAAAATTTAATAATAAATAAAAAGTCATTTCCAGTCTTTTATTGTAATATCATATAAAATGAAAGAAAAAATTTTTTTTAAATAAAAAACGTACGCATGCTGAAATCAGGTATTGCGACCATATCACATTTCGGTAATGCATAAGGAATTCCAAACCAATCGCTATACCATCCAATTGTTTTTTTTAAAACTGATAAAGCAAAATAACATTTATCTTTTTTTCCACGAGTCGAGTAAACTCTTACAATACAACCGCTATTAGTTTTGTCCTAAACCATTCTTATAAAGAAACGGATAAAATATTTTATAAAATTCAATAAAAAAAACTGAATCGAACCTCGATGAATTCTAAATCACCAACAACGAGAGCAACAAGATAAGTTGACATCAATGGAGAGGTAGCAAATTTAACAAATTTTTTACCATTAATGATTTTTTCATCAATACAATTCTGCAAAAAAATTTTTAGAAATTCTGCAAAATAAGAGCAAACTATTCGAAACTTATTCTACTGAGAGAAAAATTAAAAAATTTCAGATTTCAAATAGAACGATAAATAAATGAAGTTTTTTAAACTTAACAAATGGAACGAACCATATTTGACAATGCCGTCAAAGATTGTTCAACTATAAGACTTATATCGAATTTGGCTTTATAAATTGGTTCATCCCAACATGGAAAACACATTCTTGCGTGCGAACTCTGAAAAAAATGGTTTAAAATAATAGTTCTACAATAAATGGAGGCAAATATAACAAATTTCCGATTTTAATTATCTTGGATCCACTCCAATCTCACATGGATAGGGAAGGACGAAATTATAACCCCAATAACGATAGCAAGAAATGGATTTTCTGCCAAACGAAACTTTTATGGAACCATCGCGAAATCGCCATAAAGACAAAAGTATGCGTCCACATAGCTGCATTTCGCTCGATCTTGCTATATGGCTGCGAAACATGGCTGATGAGAGTGGAGGATAACAAGAAGCTGTACACTCCTTTGACCACTCATGTCTAAGATATATTTTATAGGCCCGCCAGGCTGATAACTGCATGCCCAAATACCACCTGCATTAATATTACCATCACACGGTGTCGCGTTCGCTGGTTAGGTCATTCTTCGTCGCCCACCATAAAAGTTGACGCATATTTCGCTAATTGTTCAGCTCTGTGATGGATGGCATCAAGAGCGAAGTGGGATAATCGACTTGGACTGGGACAGTCAGGAAAAATTTTGAATGCATAGGTGGATCAGCGATTTATGATTTACAAGCTATGGAAAACAGTAATGGCTTCTATTACTAATAGCGATGGCACAGCCTGGAAACACACTATCATTGTAGTCAGCGAAGCCAGCCTAATAGTAAGAGCTGCTAAAAGAAGAAAAAAATTAATAATATTATATACAATAATGCAAAAAAATTTTTTGATTTTCTTTTATGCTTAAAGAAGCAAAGTTAAAAAAGCAAAAAAACAACTTGAAATAAAATTAAAGGTAAATTGAACAGAGTCATCCATACTCAAATTCATTCTCGACCAATAATGGTCTAAAGTAATTTTCTTCTAATTTTCTTACCTTCACTTTTTTTTCCACTTGTAGTATTGTATTGTATTATAGTAATGCTCTTTTAGTTTTAGTAATCATATATTACATATTAGTAACATCAATCGTTAGTATTATTAATACAAAAGGCTATTGGCTACTACAGTACTTGACCTTTCTCAAATAAAAAAAAACCTCAAATTGAGTGCTGGCCATAAACTTTTCAACATCACCGGCATCCTTGTAGCTCGACCGATAAAAACCACGCATAATATCATTAAGGATTCCGGTAAAAACAAGAGAAATTTTTATTTCCTGCGGTTGAACTTCAGTCGGTAATCGAATTGTAATTAATTCCCACTTTTGATCATAATCAATACTGAGACCATTCCATTCTAAAAATTTTGAAATAACATTAATAAAATTTCTATTGGTTAAACTGGTACAGATAATTTAGTCACAAAACCTGTGCCATCTTTGAGAGTAACTGATGCTTTTTGGATGTCGATAGCACTAGCATGCAATTTCAAATAATCGGTTGGTTTAGTTACCTGAAAATAATTAAAAATAGACTGAATATTATTACTGTTTATCAAATTTGTGACTGGTTGATCTGGTGCTAAGACGAATACGTATTCCATTCAAAAATGACCTTTGGTTAAAGTGTAATTTTTATGAAATACTTGAATCATCTTATGAAACAACGCATCTTTGAGATTATCTGAGATTTATAATCGACGTAAGCAATACAAAAGGCTATTATGGGCTATTACCATTTCAGTAAAATTTTCCAAACTATTAAATTATTAAAGAAATAACACACCTGCACATCGATAACTTCCTCTCCTTGAAAAACGAATTTTTCTAGATCAGGCGTAAAAACTAAGGTATAATGCGATGGTAGGGCTATATCAGGTAATCGTTCCAATCTTTTTGGAACTTTCTGATGTTCATGGCATATCATCCTTATCAAATTTAATTGTTTTCTTTTGCCTGAAAGTATACTTACCGGTTATTTGAAAGAATAAACAAATCTAAATTACAATGAACGCCTGATGAGCTAATATAAAATTGGCAATACAAAATTACGTAAACGCTTTCAAAGCGACACAAAATGATTCAGTGGACTGGTGCTTAATTCGGAGAGCTTTTCGATCTAACGTTCTATTCCCCGCAAGAGTTAACCTGTCCAAGAATCGGACTGATGCTGGCAACTTAGAACTGTGCTTCTATCGCCAAGGGACTCTCTGGCATATAGGTTTAGTGTGATAAGCCAGCGGAAAAAGTTGAACCAGTAACGATGAAGGCTCTTTAAAAAAAATGCTCTCAAATGGCAAAAAACTGTATTTTAAATAATAATTAAATAGATTAAAAATGGAACAATTTAAAACACTCAGAGCGTTTCTTTAAAAAAAGCAATAAAATTTCAAAATTTAAATTGAGATTTCAGAAAATCTAAGAACGAACTGCAAACGCAGAGAAAACAAATATGAAACGAACGCACTTAGAGGAATCATTAATTTCCTATTTGAGAACAAAATTAGTCGAAAAAAAACAAAAAAATTGTTATATAAAATCCACACAAATAGAATAAATTACACGTAGAATATTAATAAATAACCAAGAATGTTGAAGTAAATCTGATTACGAAACTTAAAAACTTTTAAAAATGGTAAAGAAAATTAGAAAACTCGAAAACTTCTAGAAGCTATATAAGAAATAACTTGGCCGCTAAAATAAATAGAAAACTTTTGAACAAGAAATGGCATTGAGTAACAGTTGGCTGGTGCATGAAATTATAAAGCTTCTAATAAAATGTGGAGCGAAATATTTCTGCAATCTCGCCAAAGCAATTAAATTAGCAAATACTTCATACGGTTAATGGTAAAAACAATAATTAAAAAATTAAAGCGAAACGCAACCTAATTTTAATAAAAATAAAAGAAGGAATGATTAATAAAATATAACATAAAAAACTATAAAGAAAAAGTATGAGAAAAATTAAAAACATTTGACATTTTCCAATCCATTTCATTTTCATAAAAATCCATTTTTCAAAAATGAAGGTATTATAAATCCATATTTACCAATTTTCCCAATTTTTTCTGAAATTTATAACTTAAAATAGAGCACAATTAGCCATGACAACGTTCCCGAGCAAGTATTTTTGTCTTTTTGGTATATGAATTATCAATCTTTTTATTTCAAATGTATGCAGTTCAAGTGTCTTTCGTATGTGTAAAAATAAAAGTTAAAAGCTAAGTCTACAAAAGTTTATGTGCTTATCTAGCGCGTTATTCGTGTCTTTGTCATTCGTGTTTGTGTATATTCAGATATATTCTAATATTCATGACTTTTTTGCATGTCTGTATGATTATCTGATTTTTGGTATAAGGAATGAATCGTGAGTGGTCGGCTTTTCCAACTGCTCAACTAAATTATAAGAAATTATTACTGATTATCACTGATTATTGATCGTTACAAATCTTTGTTTCAAACGATGTTTTTTTTTGCTTTTCTTAAATCTGATTTTGAAATTTGATTTGATTTTTTAATTTTTCCATTTTATACTCGTCTTCGACAGGAGTAGACCTGATATGGCGTCGGCACCTTCGACGTGCATGATACTCCAAACTCAGTGGTACAAACGACAAGTATACAATTATGGTGTAAAATGGTCCCACGGCTAAAAAATAACTCGAGTAATTACTAATCGACTTCGAGCAGAGGTACTGGTTATATCACTATGATGTTTCGGATGACTCGGGGCAAAGTAGCGTAGCGATTTTCATGTATGAAAAGTCGGCTTTTGAGTGGAAACCGAAAAGCGATGTATGTCCTATACCGCTTTAAAGGCAAGTTCTGCAATATCTCGGACATCATATGCTCTTATTTAATACAGAGGACCGTGGACCGCAACGGTGAACTCTATGCGGAACTTCAACTGCTAAAAAAATTTCCACCAAAACATTGGATGACAATCGAAGGAGACTGGAATGTGTGCGTGGGTCATAGCCGCTGTGATGACCTCGACAACTGGTAAATATGGTATGGGGAATCGATGTGCCAATGGAGGACGCCTTCTTTACTATGCTGCAGAGCATGAACTTTTTATTACTAATGCTTGCTTTCTGCTCATAAAAAATATTAAGTCACGTGGAAATCTCCGGATAACCAAAACTTCAACCAGACTGATTTTAATCAGCTGCCCATTGGAAAAATTTCAATACTAGATAATCGTTCCTATCGCGGTGACAGTTGAAACTCACAAGAAACAACATCTCCCAAAAACTTTCATCTATCTCAAACTAAAGGATTCGAGGACAGTGAGAGCATTTCAAACCGAATTATTGAAGTACATCAATGATATAAAATGACATTTCTGGAATGACAAATAAATATTGGGCCAACTTAAGTAAAATTGACAATTTACACGCTAGAACATACTAATATGAAATGCACTAGTTAGATATTGGAAGTAATTGTTCAACTGTCTGAAAACTTTGCCAAAGCATAAAGGTCACGAGATCCTGAATACCGGATGCTTCGAAGAATTGCAACGTCATCAGCATAGCGAGATAGAAATTGCTATCGAGTGAGATGTGCTTAAGAATAGAGATGGCGGCTTGATTAGATGACAGTAGGAAATTACCTCGCCTTCTTCAAAAAGTAATTACAAGGCGGAGAACGATTAGTGAAATGATACTGGATATTAATGGGGCGCCTGTTAAGACTATTAAGGATCTTCTTGCAGGATGGAAGGAATTCTTTGAGGCTAAACTTAACCAAGACACGGCATCTGTTGCTCCAAACATAGCTGATTCGTTCGTCGAAAAATACATTTGCAATTACGAACGTCAATAGAAGAAATAATCTCTGCTATCCATAAGCTTAAAGCCAATAAGAATATGGGAAAAGATGGTGTGAAAACTCTTCAAATTCATCATCACCCGTAACGCAACAAATGAACAAATGTACTTTATGGTATGGAAGAGAGAAACCTGATGAATTATAACCTGATGAATGGAGCAAAGCAATTCTGCTTCCAGTTCCCAAGAAAAATGACGAGACATATTGCGACAATCATCGAGGAATCAGCCCAAAAGACGTCTCAACGAAAATTTTTGTTTCCCTTACTCAATAGACTTATGACAATGCATGACAGGATATGCCTAATCAAGGTGAATTCAGGCCGAAGCGTGGTTGTGCTGACGAGATATTCACATTAAGAAGGTTGTTGAAACATCGCTTCAAATATCTACAACCCATTGTTAGGTTTCATTGATTTTGCGGCTGCTTTCGATTCAACTGTTAGAACGGTCCTCTGGAGGGTGATGGAGCTTAATGGTATTCCAGAGACCATTCGACTAAAGGTATTTTGTCAGCACAGGTCTAGATATATGGGGAAGCGACTCTTTCGAAATAAGAACTGGTATCCGTCAAGACAGCGTCCTTTTTTCTACAATATTTATGCTATACAATGTGAAAACTGCAGCGAAAATTGGACTCAGGATCAATGTAAAACGAAGGGTGTTTTCGTCTTATATAAGAAGCTGATAAAAATTTTTATTAATTCATTGCTGGTTGAGGAAGTGCTCAATTTCCCTACCCTGCATCCACTCTAATACCGAATGGCCAAGCGACCTAAACAACGGCAACTAGACATATGTTCTACTTATCCCATTGTCGCAAATATATTCATATGGTAATTCATTCGTCATTATTCATAAGATGAACTTCATGAACTCCGACTAAATTGAAATAATTGTTTCCGAAATGAACTAACATTTTACGGAAGAAAATTTCTTAAAAAATTCAAAATTTGCTTCTTTGTTTGATAACCTATTATACCCTTTAAATTTTAAGCCTAGACGACTTCGTAGCAATACCTGTCATATAGCTCTCGTTCTTATTTCAGAGCTCAGGATGGTGCTGAGGTTCCCCTGGTAAGAATAAATATGTCTTTCGAGAACACAGCTGTACTTACCTATATTTCTATCCATAGGTGACTCCCTCACAAAATCTATCTGGTGCAATAAACCAGTGGAACAAGTCTAACCAGAAACGATGATCAGCGCTCTTAAAAAAAAATTATGAAATGCTGAAAATATGATTAAACTGGAGAAAAACTTTATAGAACGAAAAAATTAAGAATAAAATATGTATGTGCTTTACCAATAAGCCCATCAGGCGTTTTTTCATAAATTTTACACAAATTTATAGTTTTAACAAAAAGATTAAAAAATTGGAATAAAAATGAACTCAACAAAAACCATTTAATATCGAGACGATTAATGGGAAATAAACAAAGTCACCTGAAGTAACTGGGATCACAAAACTGGGATTATAAACGCATCGAACCACGAATATCGATCTCGACAATAACCCACGAAGCATATTTCCTTTATTATTCAGAGGGAAAAAACACACGCCCAACGTTGGCTGCAATCCAAGTGATAGCAGATAATACAACTATCAGTTAACAGTTAGCAACAGTTACACCTCAAGCATCCAAGTAGAATCAAATCGCAACAATTACGAAAACCCACTGACCTCTCACCCGCCATAAAACCAAACATTGTTTACAACACTCCCACACGTAATAGCAATAATTCGTTTTAAGATCCCAGTTCTCACAAGAAGTATTACAGCTCTATAGTTCAACATAATTATAACTGAAATTATTGAAATAAATAGGTATTATTTCAAAAATGTTGAAAATAAGCAGGATAAAGACATAAAACGAAGCATTTTTGCTTGATTTTTTTTCAAATACAAAGATGAATTTCAATTCTCAAATTGAAAAAAAAGGTAAAATGAATTGACATAAAATTATTGAAATATTATATAAGCATATAAACCAGTCTAATGGCCGGTCTAAGAACTAATGACGTGGACATGAACTGAATAAGCCAACACGAAATTCCTTTTAAGTGAATACGGAAATGTCAATTTATTATTTATCCTAAGGATCAAGGAAAGGCATATATTCTTCGTCAAAAATATACGAGCATTTAATGGAATTACTGTGATTTTTAAACGATTGAATAAGTTAGAATTTTAAAAACTTTATAAAATAATTTCTAATACGGAAACATAGACTTAGAAAATCCGAAAAAGAAGCCTTTTCAAATTCCCCGATAATCTTTATATGAAAATCAGTGGCTTAATCATTTGTATTCACATTATCGTAAAATTGCTTTCGAAGATTCAAAAGATAATTTTTAGCCGCTTCGATTTCAACTTTTTGTAAGATTGGTAGAACTGAGCGAAGCTTGTTGATAATTCTCAAAATATGTAGTTTTTTTTTGATTTCTGCATCATATTTCTTAGGCCTTTCCTTATGCGCACATAAAATTTCTGCCAGGCTCCGAGCATCATCCAGTACTTCACGCGGAAAAGTTGACAATTCAGCTATATTCAGTCCTTCAAGCAGATCTATTACCCTTAATAATAACGATTAAAATGTTAAAAGAAAAGATTAATACCATAAAGAGTTTTTTTATAAGATCCTTTGCATAGACGATGTGTAATTTCTAGCGCATTAAGCGGTGTTCCACCATCGTGCATGACCGTTTTAAAATTTACTGAGAAATGATAGCTAAAATGAAAAAGTTATCAACTGAAAACTGGGAATCAAATGAAATTCATTAAATGATTAAAATAAAGAAAAATGAGAGTGAGAAAACTGAAAATGACTTGGCAACTTCCGAATAATTCCATGCAAGCGATGTCAATTCAAGATAATGCGTCGCCAAAAGCGTATATGCCTGAAGGAAGATCAAACGACACATTAGAAAATTTCTAATAAATAGTAAAATAATACTAAAAATAGCGTCGGGCTGAGCAGCTTGGAGATTCTATCTTTGTATTATCATTGTAGTTGGCCAAGCCAGTCTAATTAGTAATGGTGTTTAGAAGAATAATAATAATACTAATAATATTAAAAGTAAGCTAAACAACGTATTTTTTGATTTCTTGGAAAAAGATTTTTTTTTTCTAAATTCAGAGCCATATGAAACTTTTGATGAATATGAATAATTACAACCTTTAATTTCAGTAATTCTTCGCAAATTGCATAACAAATCGAAACGCCTTCTTCAATAGCAGTACCTTCAAATACATGTACAGGGGTAAAAAACCATAATTTTAATCTATTTAAATTTAGAAATAGAATAAAATTTAAAATCACAAAATCATATAAAATCACATAAAATGAACCCTTTTTAAAAATTTGGATTTTTTGGCATTAAAAACTAAACCATAGGTCAATAATAATCTGATAATAATAAAAATCTAGTGATAAATTAAGATTACTTCGAGCCAGTTCATCAATAATAATAAGAGAGGATGAATTGGCACTTGTTAATATTGTTACCATTTCCGACATCTAAAAAGATTTATTCTAGGATGTACTAGGATTTGGAGACAATTCTGTCTGTCCATAGCATCAGCCTTTTACTGGTCGTTTAACATGCAATAAAATAATATAATAAAATAATAAAATGTAAATATAAAATTGAAAAGAAAAAAAATGAAATTTTAGATATAATTTTCTTGCATAATTTTAGATATAATTTTAAAAGTATCTGTTAAAGAGGAAGTAAAATTTTACTTCAAGAGCAAAAGAAGATAAATTCGCAATTAAATTGTCATTATGGTCAAGGCAAGAAAATATGCGTGTAATCAGAGGAAAAGCTGCAAATTCCGCGGGGACAAAACTGCCTGTTTGAGCGAGTACTTGCAAAAGACATATTTGCTTCAAATAAGTTGATTTGCCAGCCTAAAGCTTCAAAAAAATTGAAAACAAATAAGGTTTTTTTCAGTGATCTTTTCAGTCAGTAAAGTTGCATAAAATTCTTGCAGTAAAAAATTAGGAAAAGCATTCATTTGCACAAAATTTTCATTACTATAAGAAAAAAACCATTAAAAAGAAGTGAACGAAAAAAGTTCTGGGTTAATTAGAGATAGGTTAAATGGGTTAATCATTTCTGGGTTAATCACTATCTTTTCATTTCTGGTTAGGCAAGCTCAACCGGCCTACTAGGATTTTTATCGGACTTAACCGGCCAGTTACTTAGCAATGGAAGTATAGATGAACTACTAGGATTTTTATCGGTCGGATTTTTTAATAGCTCTGTCGGGGCAAATGCCGAATCCTTACCGCTTAACTTGATAATATAAATCAGCATAATTTCACTTTTCTATTTCAAAAAATTAAATAAAAAATGCTTTAAGAAAGTTTAAAAATAGAATTAATGAAAAGATAACCATATTTGGCCCAGTAATAACAGCCATATAACTTTCTGCGGAAAGATACTGAAGTAATAATGTAATTCAATGGAAATATTTAATGATTAATTAATTACAAAAAAATGACAAAAAATAAAAAAAAATAAGTAAAATACAAAATAAGAAAAATTTCGCCATCTGTGATAATGGTGCTTTAAAGTAAAGCAAAATAGTGAAACACAAAATTCAACCTTGCTTCAATATCAAATTTGAAATCTACCATGTAACAAAAAAAAATTACCGCATCATTAGCAACAACATTACCACGGGAAAAATCAAGCAATGGATGACGACCTTGTTTAATGACCATCGAATTTGCTGCAGAAAATATGGGTCGAACTGAAAAATATGAATCTGATGACTGAAGGCATGATAATAGATTAAAACAGAATCATTATCAATAATTGACAATGATTGCAATGTCAACATCTGCGGTAATTTAAGTCATATATTTATGGAGCAGTATAAATCATTTATTACCAGTTGCGACTTTAACAGCGTATAATGCCAAACAAGTAATGAAATCGACCAAGGAAATGACTTCGATTAAATGATATAAAGAAGGAATCAACGGCCGTATCTGAAAAATTATTTAAATTATATATAAAGGAGATAAAAGCGGATAATTGCGCAAAATAATTTAAATAAAAATATGGCTCAATTTTAATTTTTTAATGAACAAATAATATTTCATGCCTTCTTTAGTAGATTGACAATCAAAGCATTGCTACGAATCATTATCTCATTCACTGCATTCTGGATCCGATCTGAATTTCCAGATTTTTAGCAAACTAATAAGAAAAGTTTTAAGAGTCGAAGCATTTTTGAAAGTTGGAAGTTTCATTAAAAGAGAAAGAAAATTATATAATTTTTTATATACATGATAAACTAGTAGAAAAAATTAATTGAAAAATTTTTTCGTCAATTTGGCTAGTTTATAAGTAAAATTAAATACAATCAATATTGTATAACATTATAGATATAAGATAAGATAAGAGTTTCACATCTTTTTATCAAAAAAAATTTGCTGTTACCGTTTTTTCTACCAGGCAGATAGAATTTGTATTATTTGTATTGTTATAATTTATTATTCCATTTGATAAAAAATAGAACATTAAAATATACCATTGTATCGAATAAATGATTGAGTAGTAAAAGATATCGAAGCCTGATGCCTCACAATTTGTATAAAATGAGAAGGAAGCTTTATGATTGATAATGGATCAAAACACGTCATTGAAAAATGAAAGCCACGATGGGTCGTATACACCAGTCGAGCATCCGGTAACTGTTGTTTTTCCTCTTCACTTTTTTCTAAAAAAGTGGCATAATTTTATAATTATAAGTTTAAAGAAATAAAATATCAGCATTTTCAAAATTAAAAAGAGCCACATGCATTTTATAATGAATAGTACTGTAACATATTTGAACCCACCTTGCATATCTCTGATCAATTCCTCGTATCCTTTGCGTGCCAAATCTATCATATTATCTTGCCCAGCCTTAAAAAAGAAAAGTAATTAAGCATATATGATGAATATTTGTGTAAAAAATCAAAAATAATGAAAAAAAAAGTAGAAATCACGCGTAATGCATAACAACGTCGATAACGCATTGCAAGAGCAGATTTTTCAGCAATGATCATACTAGGTTCAAGCGCTTCATCTAATAAATCCATAATTTGCATTAAACGCTTATCGTTCAACTGCTGAAAACTACCTGTTATGTGATTAAAAAGTAGTTGTTCTAATTTTCACACTAAATACACCAATGGTATTAAGCAGTGAAAGGAAATTTTCTATATTCGAAGAAAGATAATATTTTTGGAAATGCAACTTAGATACATAAAATGCAATAATATATAATAAAATGCAAAAAAAATATTATACCTTAAAACAAACTTGGAATAAACGACAAGAACTAGAGTCTAAAGCTTGTTTAAGAGGCATAATGAGTTGTAAAGTTTGTTTTAATGACAATATCTGAACTAATATCAGGTTAATGATAAAAATGAATTAAGTAAAAGTTAGCTATGCAATACAATAGCTATCTAAAAATTTTTGAATATTCCTAAAAATCTTAATAAAAAATCATTGAAAGAATTTGGAATGAATTTAAAAAATCATATTAAAAAAGTGCAAAGAGGATAGTACCAAAAAATACTTCAATTCTCACTAAAAAATGAAAACAGTACAGTAAAAATACTAGAAAGAGTGAATTCACAACAGCCGATGAAAAAAATTACTGATCCCATTTTCATTAATAAATATTATTATCACTAGTGAAATCACTGATTATTATCACTGATTTTATCTATAGAAAATGTAAAGCTATATGAGAAAAGAAGTATAAAATTTCAGCTTACCAAAAAATTAAGAATAATGAGAATAAATTAAGGATAGTGATTTTAGCAAAATAAAACCATATAAACTGAAAAATATCATTAGAAAAAATTACTTGCGATATACGCTGCTCAGCAGTCCGTACTGTTTCATTGTTTTTCTCGAGATAACAACATAACGTTATAAGGTGCTGAATATCAAAGGCATTTCCGATAATGAGACGTAGCCTATCTCTTTTCTTAAAAACTTTAAACTGAGCTAAATATCATAGAATGAATGACCTGATAAAAGAAACGAAAAAATTGCAGAAAATAAAATATTAAAATACCGGTTGATTGGTTATTAATTCTTCGATAGCATCTAATCGAGCATTAATGGCTTCCAAATCAGCAGATGGCTGCAACAAATTGCTTCGAAGCATTCGAATACCACCGCCAGTCTGACATTCATTTAGAATCGAATAAAGACTATGACCGACAACTTTATATTTTTCGCACATTCGCTCAATGATCTCAATACTGTGCATTGTATTCACGTCTGAACCAATTTTTTTTCAAATTTCCAAACATGAATCAAATATAATCAATGAATAAAATCACTTTATTCATGAATTCTTTTTTAGGGTAAGCAAAATGAATTACCAATGAGGCACGATTTTTCCGTTGACTGATAGACAATATTCAGAGTTCCTTGAGCAAAAAATATATCTTGTATTTTTTCAACATACTTGATTAATGCAGCAGTTGCTGCCATGCAGTAGTATCTGAAAATAATAATTAAAAATTTAAAATTCTTCACTTGTAAAATACCTATTCTCAAAGAACCAAGCGACAATTTGAATGGGGTTATTTAAAGGTTTCTTGCGAAGAAGTTTTTTCTGTAATATCAACGTTTCTGGCAACACTCGATTTTTTTATTGGACCAGACAAGCTTTTGCCAAGGAGTTATTCGAAGATGGTAGGACAGATAGGTCTTCATCATTTTTGAAAGAACCTTATTTTTGTCGGGACCTTAGTATCGGAGCTCAAAGCAAGAGGAATAATCTGCTAAGATATTCAACTCTATCGAACTTTTATCGCGAAGTGCTCGTGAAAAAAAATTTCCATCCTAAATTGGCGGCAGATACATTTGATAAACCTTTCTGATTTTTGACAAATTATAACATATGAAAACGCATATTTTAAAATAATAACTTCTCGAAAATTTCGGATGCAATATTTGAAGTTTCAGCACCGAGCTGTTGCACCATTTCTTTGCCCTTTAAGTCACTAAAAAAATATTTCATCAAGATCGATATATTATTTTTAAAGCTGATATCATTGTTAATTATAATACTTTATTATCATACTAAACTATTACAACTTTTTCCAACTTTTTTGCCTTAAAAAAAATATATCTTTTTAGCTAAAAGGGAAAAAATAAAAGCCATTAGAAAAACTTATATTCAACCCACCCACTTTAAAATTTTATAAAAAAGAAAAATTCAAAATATTTGAAAATATATAATTTAAGAGAATTTAAGAGAAAGAATAATTTTAAAATTTTAAAAAAATTACACATATTCCCAGATTTTTATTGAGATTATAAATTATTTTTTAAAAAATTTTGAATATGAAGAAAATAAAAATTCAAGTGAAGAGAAAGATATAAATAATACTTGAAATATCGTCGGTTAACCATTGTTATTTCAATATGGGGAAAATTGCTGCGAATTAGTTCAATGATAACATTCATATTCGCTGATCTCTCACATGTCACCTCAGGAATGATAATCTAAAAAAAAGCCATTTTTATAGCAACAACTCTAAAAAAACTATTTTATAAGAATATCACCAAACCACCTTATAATAAGCTATCAATAAAATTCAGTAAAATAAGAAAAAAAAGCAATCACCAAGATAAATGATGATAATATGTAGCTTTTCCTCCTTCTTTTCAATATTGTTGCAAGTGGGACTTTTATATTAAAAACACCTTATTTGTATATTGAGAAGAAAACTGCTAGTATAAAGAACTATTACGTAATTTGAATTAATAACACCAGTGTTCATAACCAGAAAACCTTTTTTTTGGCTTAATATTATAGCCTAATCATAAAATTTTTTATAAATTAAATATTTTTCTGTTCATATTTTAAAAACGATTGAAACTTCAATAGGTTCCAAAATATGTAGCTGCATTCGAAGTCGAACATATGAAGCCGAATCTAAAAATTGATAAAGAAAAAGATAAGAACAAGTCGCATCCATACAGGCAAGCCCTATCTCACCACGTGCATTGCCACGTCCTTCGACTAATGCTGCAAATAAAGAATGCTTGAACAAGACAAAATATACTGCTCAAAGATATTAAAATGATATTAAAATGACAAATGATATTAAAATGGCAAATAAAAATAGAAAAAATGCAAATTATTTAAGGGATTAAAGTTAGTTTTAAAAAATAATTTATTAAATATTTTTAACAATGGCATGAAATGTTTTAAAAAATTTTTAAGAGAAATCATGTATCGAAAAATTAAATAAAATGAACAACTCGATTATTAGTGAAATCTTTTAGGATTTATTTGATAGCAAAACTGTTAGAACAAAAAACTAATTATAAAAAACTATTCTTCACTCTTTCCTAATAGCGATCTTCAGCAAACTTACTTTCTTCCTTTAACTACAAAGGTAATTTCCAGTAATCGTGAATCTGATCCCACAGTTAACAGAAGCCATCTTTTTGATTCTTTTACAACTGGATCACTAAGGGCTTCAATTTATGTCTATTAAAGAGTTGCAGTTTTATCTATTTACAGCCATTTGAATTGTCACATAAATCTTAGAAATTTGAAAAAAAGGAATATTTCTTTAATTGATGATATAGGAATATAGAATATAGGAATATAGGAACTTTATCCGAGTATTGTACAAAGACGAAAAATATATCGTCTTTTCTATATTAATAATTGGTCCATTGGTCCAGTTAGTTTAGTTTCTTTTCTATATTGATAATTGCAATTGTCGATATAAAGATTAGCACCCATTGTAAATCGTTCGATGCAACAAATATATCTACCATTTACATATTAATAAGTCATATTGGAACATTGCTTCAAGTATACTAATTTTCATGTAACGTTCCATCTTATGAGGGCGCAGAGTTTATGGTGAATAAGATAGATAGATTTCCGAAGTACAAAGCGTTGCGATCTTTTCCCTACAACGTTCAACTATGCGATAAATTGGATCATGAACACCGCTTATCTGCAGTCAAGAGATGAGAAGTAGTATGTAAATCAGTTCAAAGCAAAGGGTCTTAAATAAACTGATATATGATCTTTTCGCTGATGGATATGGGAAATTGCCACAGAATCTGGAGCGGTTATCAACAACAGCAGTAAAAAATAAACTCTTTTCATTTCATAACAAATATCAATTTATAACAAATATCAATTAACCAAATTGCCAAATGACCTCTCTGCATATAAAGAATGCTTAAAAAATTTCCGTAGCGCCATTCATAATTACTTTTCAAATAAAGAAGAACAACTTTTAAATATTGATAGAAATTCTTTCTGGACCTATATCAAAAAAAAATTTGCAAATCCACGTAAACAATTAATTCTGCAACATAATGATAA